TTGCCCGTTTCCCAACTGATGGGAAGGGTCGGGCGTTGCGCAATAAAGAGGCGATCATTGGGGGGCGAAGAAAAGTACACCTCTTGTGCCTAAATGGGTCCTAACCCGAAAGATTGGGCGAGAGAGGATCAGCTGGATGTTCTTCTGCCTCAGAAGCCTAGCGGTTGCGTCGCAGGCACCAGCCTTGGGGCCTGCTCAGCTTCGTCTGAGCCAAAAAGCTACTGACTGTGAAAACCACGATCGAGAACCGGCAGGGGCCAACGTCTAGTGAACACCCCTGGCGCATTCAAACGCAGCGTTTGGGGACCGACGTGGGCTACACAGTTCTGACTCCAGCACGCGTCCAGCAACAGCGTGCCACCATGTACCCCAACCACTGCTCCCTATGGTGGTGTGCATACGCTTGAGTTTGCAAGCACTGGAAAACAGGTGGGCTAGAATTCTGCCAACTAAGCCCTATAGCTTGGCGACGCTCTGCCAATCCGCCACTACGGAAGGCCTGTTCGAGCCATGGCCCTACAGTTGGGCCCGCGTTGATGGACCCGATAACTGTGGCGAGACTCCTGGCCATGATGGCATGAAACCCCATCACTGACCAGCAGAAGCACGCGCGAGCCCGAGGGGCTGCGCTCCCTCTGCTACCCGACCGGGATGCCAGGAGCGAGAAAGCCGCCCAGTGAGATCGTTTGCGAAACCTTGGCACATCCTATACTCAATCTGCTGGATAGAGTAGCTGGCTAGATCGCTGGTGGTGCAGACACGTGTCACCTTCTTTGCCACACCGACGGGCCAAGCAGCATGTATTGGTCCGTGATGGGCATTCGAGGGGGAGACGCAGGGGAGGAGCGAGGAAGGCTTGAGATAATGCCTGAGCTCGACACATCCCCCTCCTTTCGGTACAACCGCCTCAAGAAAGCTAATTTCGAAATAGACCAGCTTAAGAGTGAGAGAGTAAAAGTCAGCTTTCTGTTGCAGGTCACGGAAGACCGACAAAGTGTGCGAAGCGAGCCCCCTATTCAAGATGAGGATGTCGTCCTGGAATATCACGTACAGCTTGAAGTCAGTGCCAGCCCAGGTTCTTTGAATGAGAAGTTAGCCTTCGAGTTTCACGTAGCGGCAGCAGTCAGCCAGCTCCCCGCTGCGCGGTAATCCCATGCCGTGCCCTCCTGAACGCTGAAGTTGGTTGGACCGTCGGCCTCATCCCAGGGGTCATCGACGCATTGATGTTCGAGGAGGAAAACGATGACGCTTCGAAGGATGCCTCGCATGGGGTCCCGAGGGGACCAGAGGAAGACGCCGCTTGAGGCGATCTGGCCTGGCGAACCTCGCAGGTAGAAATCCTTTGAATCGACCTTTGCCATGTGCCATTGGTGTATATCGTCGGTACGGATATGCTTGAGACGACAGATCAAGTCGATTGAATCCCGAAGAAGGTGCGGAGCTACGCTGCTGAGCTTCACCTTCAGTATTCCGCTCAGCCAGCAGTTCGGATCTGTAAACAGGTACCGTGACGATCCGTGAGTGCACTGGCCGAGGTGCGATGGCCCCTGCATCCTTGTGGGGTTTGATCAGAAGCTGCAGCCTGCTGCTGCTTGTGCCGTGAAAAACGCTGCGGGACAGGGCGCCCTCGAGTTCCTGCTCCCCCATCTCCCCCGAGACCCACTTGCAGAGCTTCAGGTAGCTCTGGCAGCACGTGTGATGAAGACCGATTGCGCCCGTCTCGAGGCAGTGCGCTGCCTGCAGCACTGACAAAGAAAGATACTGGAAACCATCCTCGCGCACGAGAGTGAAGCTTTGATCCTTGTCACTCGGCAACGTGAGCAAAGGTCCTTGCCGACGAAGCCCGAATGCCAGAGCCTCCAGTGGATGGAGGTTCGAAAATGCATCTGGTCGAAAGTATGGCTCGGGACCGGGCCACGGAGGCCGCCTTGAGAACCCTTGAACCGACCTCGCGAAGCCACCATTCCAGTGCGACCCGTTCGTGGCGCGCCCCGACCTGCGCCTGTCCGTTGAGGGGGGCAGCGGGGCTGGTTCTCGGAGCGCGGAGCGAGCAGCTTGCCCGAGGAAACAGCTGAAAGCAAAGCCTCCATCGCATGCGGTGCTGGAGGTCTTGCACTTGTCCCCGGACAGATGGCACAAGCGGCAACGCCTTGGACAGCATGATGTGCGCGCGGTGCCGTCGTAAAATGGGCCATGCTATTGGCCATTAATAATTGCAGCAGGGGGCTGTAAAGTTTGACTTTGTCACACTTTTATTTCTATTGCAGAAGTGTGAGCAAGTCTCCAGTGTCTAGTCCATATGTAGGCCTGCTCATCCGACGCACGTCGTGCATGCTTCTAGTCATGTCTTCCACCGTTTGCCGCCACGCCTTTTGTCGCGACCTTTTTTTCTAAGCCATCCTTGCCCTTGCCTTCTGACCTGCCCTTGTAGGTCGTGTGCGTGTACTGCCCGGCGGTGTGTCTGCGTCTGCCCTCTGTCCAAGTGCATTCCTTGCCTTTGCCCCTGTCCTTTCCTTTGCCCTTCGGTGAGTTCTTCCCTTTATCCATGCCTTTACCCTTGCCAGTTCCTCTGCTTGTGTCCGCACGTTGGCGGGCGGGGTCGACTTGACCTTCGCATTGCCTTTCTTCTGTTTCTTGCCACTGCTGGCCCCCAGTTCCCTGGCTGGGGTTCCACTGCTGTTTGCTTGCACGGCGTTGCAGAAGTGTTTCAAGTTGGCGTCGGGATCGGGCTTCTCTTTGTCACCCTTAATTTCGGTATCCTGAGGGATCAAAGCGTGGACCTCCGCCTGGGCCACCTGTTTGAGCAAGTTCGCGGGGTCTTTCTGCAGGCGAATGCGTTTTGGTTTCGCCTGATCCTCGGCTCTCTTCGCCATCTCAAAGTCGTGGGCGTCCACCTCCTTGGAGACGCGGTCGATCGCTTGGCGGTAGAGCTGCTGCGCCCTGGCCTCGACTGCCGCGGTTGAGATGACGTCGAGGAGGGGCTCGATGAGTCCGAGGTCCATTGCCCTGGTAGATTTCTGGTTCTCTGGGCCCTCCCCGAGCCCCAGGACTGGGCCTGTCAAAAATCAATTCAGGATGAAGACTCGGTCCAGGGGAAAGCTCCTTGGGTCCAGGACCCGTTTTCCTCAGGACCCGCTCCTTTCATGCAAACGAAATGTGGCCATGAGAACGAAGGCCAAGAACGGGCCCCTACGATGACCCGAAGCCTGTCCTGAAAATGCCCGTTTCCCAACTGATTGTACGGGTCGGGCGTTGCGTAATAAGAGGGCGATCGTTACGGGGCGAAGAAAAGTGTCCCCTTTCGTGCTTAAATGGGTCCTAAAGGGGGGCCTGGGGGCCCAAAAGGGGCACGAAGGAACTCCGGAAAAGGGGCTTCACGATGGAAGTAGAGCAGAAAGGAGTAGGCCACGGGGCTCGGCAGCACTGTGGCGCTGATAAGCCAGCACACCCACGGATAGGACAGCACCCAAAGAAGAACATCATGGCAGCATTGTTGCGCGGATAGGTCGGTAGACCCAAAAGCATTGTCGCGCGGAAAAAATGTACATCCAAACGATTTTTGGCGTGGATTGGCCGGCGCATCCGCAGAACAGCAGTCTGGTGGCGCGGATGAGCCGGCACCCGAAAGCACACGGCATTGTGCATTTATGTTCGGGGAGGAATGGAATGGGGACGAGGGGAAGCAGAACGGAGTAGAAGAGTTCGGGGAACAAACAGTGACATCAACATAAAAATTCGCAGGTCCGCGCGGATTTCTCGGATCGGCGCTGGACCCCCCCTCCCTGGCGCGCGGAGGGCGCGGGGAGGCGGCGCTTGAGGCGCCGCCAGGTGGTCTCCAGCAGCGAGCCGAGGAAGCCGCCGGACCTCCGAGTTGTTATGTTCGTGGCACTGCTTGTTCCCCAGAGCGAAGGGAGCCAGGAGGAAGGCGCCCAAAGCTTAAGATGGTGCCCAGGGCCCCGGCGGATGATGCCTCGTGCAGGTTCTCCTGCGGCGCCAGTCGGGCGGGGCTGGGACAGGTAAGGATCGTCCCGGAGCGCTCCGAAGCGCCAGGATAATGGCACACTGCCGTTGGGAGCCCGTCAGAGGAGGAGGAGGAGGAGGAGGAGGAGGAGGGGGAGGAGGAGGAAACATATAAAGTCGGAGGTCCGCGCTTTTTCTCAGATCGATGCTAGGGCCCCCTGGCGGCGCCTCCAGCGCCGCCCCTGGCGCGCTCCTTTCGCGCCAGGGGGGGGGGGTCCAGGGCCGATCCAAGGAAGCCGCGCGGACCTCCAGGAAGTTATGGTTACGGGAGGGTTCCAAAGAGGTTTTGGGGGGAGGAGGTTTTCTAGGAGGGGTGGGGGCTGTCTGGAAAACCCCCTCCCAAAAAAAACCTTTCGGAACCCTCCGGATGTATGTCATTGTTTGTTCCCCTATCCTTCGCTTTTGTCCCTCGGGCAGGGTGTGCCTTCACGCGCTGATGTGCTCCCCACGGCGGCGCGTCACTGATACTGTTTCTCGCTTCGAGCAGTTGGCTCTCCAGCGGCCGATCGGGACGAGCTGGGCACCCCCGGATCGCCTTCGACGAGGCGCAGCCGCTGGAGAGCATCCCGAAGCTCGAAGACCGCCGAGGCCCGACGGAAACGACCGATAGCCGCCGAGGACGCAGGATGTCAGCGTCGTTTACCAGCCTGGAACCTAAGGTCGGCATCGCCTCATCCCGGAGCCGATCGTATGGAGTCCTTCCGTTTCTGAGGGCGCATCCATGTAAGATTGTTGTCGTTTTCTGGCTTGTCAGTTCTAGGGATGGGGATGCGCTCGAGACTGGTTAGGCTCAGGAGGGGAGAAAACGCAGACTAAGAATCGTCGATTCTCCAGAAAATATGAAAAAGATTGGAAGTAAAGGGAGAGGCGAGCATCCAGAAGATATTGAAAATGTTGGGAATCCTTGGATTTGTGCCTGTTTATTTGTGTGTCCCTGGTTTTTTGTTCAAAGGCGCCTGCTCAGCGGTGCCCAGCGGCAGGCGGTGCTCAGCGGCGCCGACTTCTCGCTGGTGCAGACGGCGAAGTCGGGGCTCCGCGGGCGGTAGCCGCGCGGGCCGCGGCCGCGGCCTCCGCGGACGTTAATCAGCTGCCCCCTCGCCGTGCAGCGCGCGTTCGCCGCCCGCGGGGCCGCTGGGGGGGCGGAGGTGGCCCGCCATGCCTCGAGGACCAGGGGGGCGAGCGAGAGGAGACCGAGGAGGCGGGGCAGGGCGAGGCGGCAGAGGAGAGCGAGGAGGGCGAGGAGGGCGAGGGCAGGAACGGCGATTCCTCATTCAGTATTCCTCGCTAAGGATTATTCACCAAGGACTCCTTAGCAACGACGCCTCACCAAAAGGTTACCTTACCACGGGTTCCAGAATTACCTAGGAGTCCTGAGCATGGTTTCCTTATTTAAAGTTCCTCACTCAGGATTCCTGATTCAAGAGGCTTACGCCATTCCGCCGATCCCCCAAACGAAGTTCAGTATCGTTAAATCGACCCCATATCCCCATCCCTTGCCCCCCATCCAGACCCCCACCACCATCTCACCCTCCCAGTTGGGGATATACCCCGCGAAGCTCGAAGGAAACTGCATATATCCTCATCTAGTGGGTAAATCGGCCTGTTGGACCAAGGCCACGCCCATGGGGATAGGGGTCGGTTAAACGATGCTCAGAAGTGAGGCCTTGTGGGCGTCGCGGCGTCTGGGTGGGCGCCTTCAAGCCTCGTCAGAGGTTCCTTGGGCGCCTGCTGGCTGTTCCTTGGGCCTTGGTGGAGGGAGACAGGGGGAGGGGGACACCCAGATGTCTCACACGCCTTTTCACTCCCAGAAGGCGGGAGTCGGCGGATTTGTGTGGTCCTTCATGTGAGTTCGGAGGGCTGGAGAGTTGGAGGGTTGTGCGTTGAGGGGTTCGTTGCTGCTTGCAGGTTTTCGTGTGGATTTCGTCGGATGTGGTCGAAATCTGGACGAGATCTGGACGGCAAAGTGAAGAGGGATGGTCGAAATCCCGTAGTAATCACGTTTATGGTAAGGCCGCGGGGGTCTACATAGGCTCCCATGAAGGCGCACCCAAGGGTGACAACTAGTTTACTCGCCTCGTGATGCTTTCCAGCAGCTGCGCCTCGTCGAGAGCTTTCGGGGGGGGCCTGGATCGTCCCGAACGGGCGCCAGAGGCTCGAATCATGCTCATGAGATCTTTCGAAAAAGAAAGAATGGCGTAAACTTTCGGAGCTCCCCGCGGATTTCTTGAATCGGCGCTGAGCTCCCCTCCCTGGCGCGCGGAGCGCGCCCGGGACGGCGCTGGAGGCGCCGCCTGGGAAGACTACCGCCGATCCAAGAAATCCGCGCGGACCGCCGAAAGTTCGTGCTTGTTCAGTGGTTTGCCTCGGGGGCGGCCAAGAAGTAGTGATAGCTTGTGGGGGGATATCATGGCTAGGGCCATGGTATCTCTCCGGATGTCATGGTCCATTCTGCTTGTTTGAATGCGTCCACTCGACCCACCCCCCCTTCGTCCGCGCACCTGCCTCGCGCCATGATTTGCGAGCACCCCTCCTGGACACCCCACTCTTGGACGCCATCGGATGCCATGAGGTCATGGCGTCGCATTTTTGTTCGAGTCGTTTCGCTTAGCGTCAGCCCCCAGGACCCCCACAGATGGATCCGACTCGAAAAATGCCGATTGGTTCTTACGATTTTGCATGTATGTGCGCTGTCGGATCTTAGGGCTGGTTCCGGCGAGCAGAAAGAATGGGTATGGGCACCCCTCGTCGCCACAGCTGGACGCAGCTCGAAAAACTCGTCTGTTTCGACCCTCTGATGGGTTCGGGGACTGAGTTTGAGCGGATTTGCCCTCATCCCCCCCTCTCGACCGATTTTCTTTGGGCGTATCCAAATCAGACCCCCTGGCCGCCTCCAATGCTTCCCGGCGGCGCCGACGCCACCTCGCCCCTCGCGCGGCGCGAGGCTCCACGCGCGGCGCTCGACGAGGCTTCAAAGAGCGCGACTGTTTGACTCTACTCATACGGGCGGCCATCAAATTTAAACGGAACTGCTCAGCTGGATAAGCGAGCGGGAGCAACACAAGAGCCGGGTCACTTATACTTCAATTGCCGGCATCAAGATATGATTAGTCATTTTGGTTAGCATGACTACGGGGAAAGATCCTCGTCTTTCTTTTAATCCTCATCACATGGCGAGCTGCAGGCGTGAAACACGTGTTCGATTAGGCAGCGGAACTGGCAACATATTTGTGTGATTTGCCCCACGGCACAAGTTGGATGACAAACGTGGATTACCCTACGCCGACATCCCTATGGGGAACAGAACCAGGAAGCTGGCGTGGGCAACCCGGCGGCGGGCCTGAGCTCGGCAACGGGCCTGCGCCCAGCAACGGACCTGCGCCGATTGATATACTTGTACCACTACCAACAGTCGCTTTACATCATCCGCAGTATACATGAATTATGCATCTTATATATATATATATACACACAGACATCCATTCATTCATTCATACGTACATACGTATGTGTCTATATACCACGGTCCTACGTCACTACGTTCCGCATTACCATTACGAGAAGTTTGGCCACGAGCTCCCGCACACCAATTTACCGCTCGACCACTACGCACGGCATGGAAACATGCAGCCACAGCCTGCGCGACAGTTGAGCAACATGCCAAAACAACCCGCCATTTCCAACAACCAGTGGCATCGACTCAGCACCTCAAGATGATGTCATTTGGGTAATTATCCTGGCGCTGACGGCGCGACAGTAACAAGAGGACCTCATTGGGATCTTGAAGGGGGCTGTACCCTTTCAGGACTTACGTTCAAAAGATACGCGCGTGGCTTAATGTCACGAGCGGCCGCTCCACTCCCAATAATAGGACGGCGGCCACTTTACAAAGAGGCCTTGCTGGCCTGGCCCGCAGCATATCAATGCGAACCCCTATTCACACATCATCAGCTACGGAGTAGACATCAACGGTGTAAAAACAGATATTGTTACATACTTCGTGTACGTCGTAACCGATAAATCCGAGCATGTGGACGACCACCGTCCGTTAAATGCGTGCACCCGACTTATCGGATTTACCTTACTTCCAGGGGAACGGATCGGCTCGACATTGGCTCGACATCCCCAACTTCCAGATCCTTGCCACCATCTTGTCCCGAACCTTGCGGACTGGACCAGTTCGAGCTTCACATATGTTGCAGCCGCTGTACCATCAGATACCCAGAACCCATGTGGAGTATGACTCCCTCGTAAAACGAATACAGTTTGTCGGGTGTTCGGAAGGGGGCGCGGCAGCGCGTCTCATTACGCCGACGTCCAGACAGACTACAGTTTCCTCGGCACTGGAGAGAACGCCACAGCAACCGGCAACAACAGATAGTTTGACAACCCCACAGAGGCCACAATCCTCCTCACGGCCAGGAAATTGGCAGCCAGGCAACTGGCAACCAGGCGGCTAGCAGCAACGATTGGATCTGGAATCCAGATACCACCGCGACGCAACCAACTACGACCCTTTGGACCCAAAATGGCCTAGCTCAGCCGACGTCACCATTCAGTTTTGGCACAGATACCAACACAGAGTCGTCGGACGGTGTGAATCCGATCGAACAGTCAGACATACGAACAGGCCTTACAGAGGAACAGCAGGCGAAATTGTTGTACTTTGCTATGCGTCACGCGAAGAAGAGGTGGAAGAGGTACACGAAGAAACCAGCACGACGCGCGCAAAAATATACGGCGCACGTCGCATGCGAAGGGGTGCAGCAAGGGCAAAGGCGGGAGGAGGAGGAGGAGGAGGAGGAGGAGACTGCACGGCATGAGCATTGCCTCATCCGTTCCGTCATTTGGTTACGACGATGTGCGATGGTGGAAAGGGCAAAAGTCGCGGTCGTCGCATTGTTGGCAAAGGGAAGTGCCGGAAGCTAAGCCCCATTGGCGAAATGGTTGCCGCATGTTGCCCAACAGCTGCCGCACCCTAATCGTTTTGCCTCGCAGTGCAGCAAGAGGAAGGGTGGAGAAGATGGGGCTGCCGCTGCACAGTCTGGCCCAGAAGGTTCAGAGCACGTCAAGCACGACCAACTCCACAGTGAAAGCGAGCAGACATATTTCACGACGCGTATCACACATGAATATATTCGACGACGTCGAGGAGCACATGTGACTGAAAGGTGCGATTATGTCATTCTTTCAGGAGTCCGACGAGCCCGGCATCGAGCTGGAGTTCGGCGACGCGCCCGAGAACAGCGACCATTCCGAGACGGTCATCTGCGAGAGGAACTCCACGGACGCTTGCCCCCCCGACCACGTAATATTCCAGGCGCCATCACGATCGCCATCTCCAGCATCACCGATACTGGCCCCACAGGGGGGCATCGACGAAGTGGCCGTCAACGAGCCAACACAAGTCACTGGCGCACCAACACCTTTCTTTGGCTACCCTGTCACTACTGGAGATCCACACGCCCTGGCTCACATCGCCATCTAAAGCCAGAAAAGTCGACGCGGTCTCTATCGCCGCAAGGCGTTTTAGGCTCGGGCGACAACAGCACCCGAAGCTTCCCAGTCTGGGGCGGCGACGGCAAGGGCGCGGGCAGCGCGGGGTCGCGCGCGCGACGACGGTCTGACTCGGTCGCAATGCGCGGGCATGGAGACATGCAAGGGGCATATGTATTCACGCGTCTTTCGCGCGCTCGGCAGATGCGAACCCCCGGCGCAATGCTAGAGGCGCGAAGCCATTGATGACAGGATGGGCAATCGAATTGGCGCGAACCCATTTCTCGTGAGCCATCGCCCTGGATGCCCGATGGACAGCGCGCCCAGGAGCCCAGCTGGAAGGCCCCACCTCGAATTCAAAACACGGCGACGGCGTTGGCGGCCGAGCAGATCGGGTCGAAGATGCGGTCCCATGTTCACGGGGGGAGATGCTACACACCCACGACGACTGCGACGCGCTGCCAGATGATCACCGGCTCGACGCGCACTGCGCCTTCCCGCGGAGGAGCCCTCAGAGGAGCGGACGCGCCCGAGGGGGCCGGCGCGGCAACGGGCGGGGGCCGCGACTCAGTCCAACCAAGGGCCGACCAGGCAAGAGTCTGAGGTGCAAGCACCTCCGAAGGCC